CCAGAGCTGCTGCTGACCAGCACCCCCAGAGCCCTCTGCACCCCCAGAGCTGCTGCTGACCAGCACACCCAGAGCTCCAGAGCTGCTGCTGACCAGCACCCCAGAGCCCTCTCTATGTTTTTTGCTGCATTGTCTGAACTCTGTATCTTAGATTTGCATTGAAAATGTCTAGCCAAACACATCTACTTCAAATGAACACCACTGTGGTTCATTTCTCTTCCATTGTGTAGTCCCCTGTTCTCCCACACATGTATTTTTAGTTCTGTCTATCCTGTCCTTTTTCTGTGACTTCCAATTACTTACTATCATCTGTTTACAATTTGCGTCAAGGCATGGGAAAACAAAATTGGGAAAATAAAATTGGGAAAACAGTCTTCCTCAAAAATGATTCAACTGGCAGCCCAAATTTTCTCACGTAACTGAAACAAAATACTCCTGTAAAAAATCACTGGCAGATAGACTGAAAAGCACTACTCTGCTGGTTTGATGTAAGTATCCCTGTAATGACAGCTCCATCTGTCACAAAAATACCCTAACATAGGAGAGGGATTTTTTCCCCTGGGAACGCTGGTAGCTTGTTGTCCTAGGAGTTCAAAGATTTCTGGAATCAGGAAAGAGATTTTTGTCAATTGCCTTGAGGTGTCATCGACTGAGTGTCAGGTCATAGATGTATGCGTGTCATGATCTGGGCATTTGTTACAATTTAATTTTAAAATGTAAATCTATTATTGGTTTATTCAGGTGCAAATATTAATACTCAGGGCAAATGTTAATTTTCATTTAATCAGTGGCTGGAGAACATTACAGTCTCCTGGTATTTTAATCAGTGGAGATAAATAATAGAGAAACAATCATTACAGAAATTTCCAAGAGAACTCTTCTGCTTTTGCTAATGTATCCAAAAAGATAACACTRTTTTCTGAATTTCTGTTAGTTTACATACCTCCCAAGAGTTTTCACACGGTCTCAGAAACACAGCCATGTAACTTCTCTTTTATTTGAACTTAATATATTTTCCTATTTGTTAGTATTTTGAGGGATGTCTGAACAATCTGTGATGAGTGCTTTTTATAGGACTAAAATTACAAACTCCAAATACATCTCAATCACTGGGACAACAAAAATGTTTTTCAAATAATTAAAATTCTGCATTTGGTTGTTATCAATTTATGACTGCAATGAAGTATTGCTATTGCTCGTAACAGGACGTAAGCCTTGTGCTGAGTTTCCAAGGCATCAGAACAGAAGCTTGTTAGTTGTCTGAAYGTTCTTTGATCTGCTTGTAACTTTGCTTCCCCTGATGAGGAAGCAGGGATAACTGTTTCCCCTGATGCAGTGGCTATCCTCCTGTTAATATGGCTCAGGATGTTAGTGTCCATATGCTGGGTGGTGCTTAGCTGGCTGTACACCCGTTCTTCCCAGTCTCCTTCAGCAGAGCTTCTCCCTTGCTGGCCAGTTCCCTGCATTGTTGGAAGAGTAAGTGTGTCCTGGGTATAGGACTTAACACCACCGTTTGCTGAATTATGTCAGGGTCCTGCTTGGCCCCTTTTCCTATCTGTTCCTGTGGAATTCCACCTCCTGCCCCTAAGCCCATCTGCTCAGGATGCATGGTTTGGTTACTTACAAAACTGCTGAAGGTGCACTCTTTTTCCTACCGGGTTATTCACAGACACTAGACACAACAACACTCAAGGACAGACCCTGACAAAATACTCACGTTAACAGCTTTGGTAGGGAGCAAAAGGCTAAGTGCTGCACTTCAACTCCAGACAGTTTTTCATCCATGTAATTGTCCATCCATCCACCCAGATGAGGTACAAAAAGTACTGCCAAAGTCAATTTACTATAACTTCTTCCTCTTGTAAGTAAACATTTCATTTTGACATAAAGTATAACACTTGGGAAGTAGTTACTCAACAGCACTAAAGGAATTCTGTATTAAACTCAGACTATAGGATTTAGATCACCAAGGAGCAGAACTGACAGAAATTCTTTTGACAATTTAAGTCTTAAAAAGCCTCTTTAAAGAATTTCTAATGTTTGAAAAAATGCAGAGAAATCTGAAAGTGTGTCTATGGTAAGAATATTTGGATTTATTTTGGCACAAGATTTTGATTACTGTTCAGTCATCATGAGGGTTACTTCAATACTCACTGAGCAAGAATTAGGTTTTTAATTTATATCTCTAGCCTACAGGTGTGAAAAAGGCTAATCCAGAATACAGTGCAAGTTGTTTTATATAAACATTGACTACTGTGTTAACATATGAAAAATGACTTCTGAATGAAGATAATAAAAAATCATTTTCCAAACATCAAAATGAGGACTGCTGAAAAAAAAAATAAATAAAAAAAACCACCACCCACATGCATATCTTTGAATACAGAATAGCTGTGTAAATCTTTGCCTATGAACTAGTGAACCATTGACCCATTTCTCCCATGATTTCCTTTTCCATTTCTGARTATGTCACAACTATTGCACAAAACTACTAGGACAAGGTTTGGACTTCAGCAAAGACAGCCAAGGGGAAGGGAACAATAGTTTCTTTTATTACCTATTTTTTATAATGTGCCTACTTCATTCTGCAAAGACCATGGTTAGTAAGAACATGTGTGTGTATGAGAAGTGCCTGTCCACTTCCACCCCTTCCTCATGAATCTGTTATGAAGTTCAGAGAGGTTTTTAAACCTCTTTGTCTTTTAATAAAAAAGTCTTTAATAATGGGATAATCTTAGCGTTCCTGAGTAGAGTTTTTCTGAGCTGCTCAGTAGTGCCTGTAGAGAGGCTGAACTTCAGGCTTCCTTTATAACAGACGGATAAATTACTGCTGCTTTTTATACACTGTGGCACTGGAGATTAATTATCTCTCTAACAAGTCTAGTTATTTGTGGATATTTATTTTATATGATACTTTCCATCTTCCCATATATTTGTTTTAGGAAGAGTTGCCAACATATTTTGTGGATTTCTTCTGTTCAGAAGTTTCTGAAGCACGCAGCTTAAAACAGTGTGGCTTCTAGCATTTAAATGGCTTTTGTTGCCAAACTTTGTTTAAGACTGTGGTGCTTTGGCAAACTGAGATGTTGCCCTGGGAACACTGCTAAAGCCCTGAATGCTTCAGTCTTTCTCTCTTACTACACTCTGCAATAGAGGTATTACTAGGTTTAATTATGAAGGCTCACATTGCTCAATGTAATGAAATTTCTGCTCATAGTAAGCTCTATGTGCTAAGCCAGTGCCTTCCTACTTAATTTTTARGTAATTTTTAAGGCAATTAATTTTGTTGACTGGAGAGCTTTGGGGCTATATTCCCATTTTGTTATTGTTTTAAGTACCAAACAGCTATTTGAATATTTTCTTGTTGCTTACTTGTTTCAGTGTAAAAGTATTGACATGAAACAAGGTTTTAAAACAGGAAGTTGAATTTCACTAATGCTTTGTCCCTAGCTCTGCTTTCTGTGAGATCACTTTTTCACCGTGGCCCTTCTGGTACATAGTGACTGAGATCCATCAGCATCTCCAGAACCTCTAGCAGGAAGGCTCACATCTCCTGCTGTGAACATGACAGCAAACATTCAGGAAATGGAACAATCTTCTCTTTTGGCAAAAACACTGTGTTCTGCTGTGGCTGAGAATCACGGAACCACGTCTATGGGAAATACACACTTCTGGGTGTTTGGAAGAACACTACTCGGAACAAGGACAACCTGGAGCTGTTCAAATTCAAGTATCTTAAACAAAACTCAGGCACAGCTCATTAAAAGCACAGCTGCMTGCTGCCAGACGGTGGGAACTTATTTGTGAGAGACCAGCAAGAGCACGACTGCGATGTGGGGTTGGATGAGCTGCAAGCTGAGCACAGCAAAGTCAGCCACAGCCTCAGGGCACCTAGGCAGGGCAGTGACAGCAATGGGACGTGCAGTCCAGCAGTCATCAGGTGACAGCCAGGTACGCAGCCATGTCCCAGCTCAGTTAGAGAAATCCTTATGGTAGTTCAGGGAAGTGGTGGAGCCACCATTCTTGGGGATATTTAAAAAGTGTGGAGGTATGTCAATTTGCTACATGGTTTAGGGGTGGACAGGCAAAACTGGGTTAATTTTTGGGCTCGGTGACCCTCAAGGTCTTTTCCAAACTAGATGATTCTACGATTCTATGACGGAGAGTGGTGACAGGCAGGGGCCGACGGCTCGGGGAGCAGCCAAAACGGGTCTTCTGGGCAGAGGGGTGCGGGGAAGCTGGTCAGGGCCAGTACGCCACAGCGATGCCTCAATGCGATTCTAAGATGCAATTTGCTTTAGTTATCTTTTTATTATAATTATTCATTTATCCCTCCCTCCACTCGTGCTTTTACGTAAAGGATCTTTCCTTCCTGCTCCTGATTGACAGCCAGAGAAGCTGCCGCTGCTTTTCCCTGGGAGGACCGGCCCGGGCTGCCGGCGCTGCGAAGCGGCGCTCCCCGGGAAGGCGGCGCTCCCGCCGCGGCCGGACCGGAGCGGAGCGGAGCGGCAGGAGGGGCCGGAGCAGCGGGAGCACCGGGAGCGGCAGGAGGGGCCTGAGCAGCGGCAACACCGGCAGCAGCATGGTGGTGCCGCCGCTGCTGCGCGCCGTCATCATGGGGCCGCCGGGCTCCGGCAAGGGCACSGTCTCCGCTCGGATTATCAAGCACTTCGGCGTGAAGCACCTCTCCAGCGGCGACCTGCTGAGGGACAACATGCAGAAGAAGACAGGTGGGAGTGCGGACGGCGGTGGGCTGTGTGCGCGGCGGGGACGCTCCCTCTCCCCGCCGTCCCCACAGCCCCGCGGGGCTCCGGCGGGACGCAGCCCCGGCACAGCCCCCACAGCGCCGGGAAAGCGACTCTCGCTCCCCACACGCATTCCTGCGCCTGGCGCTGCTGCTTCCCACCCTTCCGCCTTCGGGAACAGAAGGCGCTTCTTCGAGGGGGTTTGCCCCGCAGCCCCACCTGTGTGTGCCCTCCCTCACCCAGGCAGAGAGGCTGGTTGGTTTCACACAGCTCTTCTGCAGGCCAGAGGCCACCGCAGCGGGCCTCGTATCTGCAGCCCTGGGTCCTCCACAAGCTTGGCATCCTCTTCTTGGTGGAGAACGGGGTTATGTGGGATTATCTAATTTTCCTTGTTTTGTTACACCTCATTGTCTCCTCATCTTGGTGCTTTTTGTGAGCATTCAGTGGTTTTTGTGGATATTTCTAATAGCTCTGACAGTTTCTGAGGGTTTCTACAGCTGGAAGCATCTTAAAAGGGAAAAATATTCACATTTTTAATGGGCAGGGCAAGAGAAGGAATTCTGGACAACCAGACTTTGGATGTCTATTTGATGGCTAGAAGTAGAGGCACTTAGAATCATTAACAGCTATTCCAAAATTAGGCCTAGTCCTGAACTGGTACGCGTAACATAAGGGTGCTTTTCAGAAAAACAAAGGGCAAAATTTTCAAACTGCATAGCTTTTCAAATTACTGTTGTTTTAGGAGTTCATAATATGCTTATATTTCAGAATGATCTGTGTTTACATGCAATGGTGCTTCTCTTAGGTAAAGATATGAATTGTTTTTGCTGTACAATCCTAGCTTGACCTCTGGCCTCTGTTGAAGTGCCACAGCCCTTCTCTCTGGTGGATTTTTTGCAATGATGGAAGGTCCCCTCCTGACTTGCACACCTGCTTTTTTTTTATGGAGGGGTGAAAAGCTTTGTAAGAAGCATCTCAGGCTGCATGTGAGGAAGTTCATGTGAATGAGAATATTATTACTTCCAGCAACTTCAAGCTGTGGAATACTACATTCACTTGCAAGTATCACTGTAGTATTATGCTTAGGTAACTGACAGTCTTAGTTTTGGAATACTCATAAACATGTTTGAAGGTGAAAAGTTATCTGTATTGTGAAATCAATTGTGATTTCCACGTGTCTTCACACAAATTCTKCTTAGTCGGTAAGGATAATGACTTTGGTATAGTGACTGACTTTACTACAGTTAATATCCATAAGTTGAGAATTTGCAAGGAGCACACCTGCAAAGACATATCTGATCATATCAATACTATTTCTGTTTGATAAGTTTTTATTTACAGAGAGCCATAAAACTTTTCTGTTAACAAACTTTCATTGTAAAACCTAGTGCRTAACCATTATAGAAAATTAGGGAAATCTGTTACTTTACCAAGTGCTTTGGGGTTTACATTGTTTACTAAATACTTTAGGCTTTGTGCAAGATCGTAAACCACCAGAATCAAGCTGAAGAGTGTGTGAGATGAGGAAATTGCAAGTGGAAATATCATATTACTTGAATCAAGGAGAGAGGCTGAAATGATGTGAAGTGATTAAGCAAAGCGTTCTAGGTGGGTTTGACAGATTGAAGGCAGTGAAGGAGAGCAAAGTTGAGAAATGGAAGTGTAGCAGACAGGTTGAAACCCAGAATATGACAAAAGAAGTCAGTACATGGCTTGAGAGGTGAAGGTTGGTCTAAATTAGCTAGAGCAGAACTTACCAGAATCTGCTACAGAGTTTCTCATTCAAGTAAACCCAGACAAATTTCTCTTGCAATTGCATTGAAAGTCAGTGGCAAGTTGCAGAAATGGTTTCCAGAGGGTTGAGATAAAATATGAGGTGACAGGACAGGGTAATACACTGAAAATAGGAGAACAACGGAAGGGCAACTCAGAGAGCCTTGACAAGTTCAGTCAAGGCAAAGAGTTAATGAGTTTTGATCATAATACAAGAGTTCTGCAATTTCCATTTCTTTGGGAAATGGGTTGCACTAAGATAGGCAGTTAAAACACTTGGAAAATTAAGTACAATTAATAGTAGTTATACAGTGCAAATTTTTGCATTTGCTTTCTTGTGAGAATGGACATTGTTGAAAAGTCCTGTGGAAGATGAGTGTCCTTATGAATCTGCAATTATCGTGTTCTGCTGCTTTGGAAAGTGGAGAATCTGTGACCATCTCTCTAGTGCTAAGGAAATTATTGTCCGATTGTGGCTAGAGCTTGTTTGCTGCAATGTGGTTAGAACATGTCTCTCTTCGGTAAAAGCCTGGAACATGGATACCTGTTATCACATAGAAAGGAAGGAAACCTGTGTTGCCTTTAGTTCCAAAGATTGTCACACCTGTAGTGTTTTCAGACCCAACTTGAAAAAGCTGAGATCTAAATAAAGCCTACAAAACCTCCTGAAATCTCACTACCAACAGCAGGGGTGGAAAAAAAAAGCTATGATCTAGTGTACCACCTTTTTGTCTTAATACATAACCATTTTATAGTTATATATTAACTATAGTTGTGTCTATAGTTGGGTATAGTTGAGTCTTTTTTTTTTCCTTCTGTGATAGTGCCTTTCTAAACGTCCTGAGTTCTGTAGAGATGGGCAAAAGGCAGCATTTTTCCAGCTCCGTTGGTCTAATAATAGCTTACCATACCCTAAATCTCTCTGGGCCCAAAAACCCATGAGTCTTTCCGAAGTATGTTAGAACGTTCTCTGTGAACCTTGTCTTGCACATATTTTTAGATCATTGTGGCTAGAGCAATGCTGCAGCATAAACTAGGAGCAGATCCAAGCATCAAGTACACATTAAACCATCTAGACATGATTTACTCCTCCTCCCAACCTAGTTTTGCAGGATACATGGTTCAAAGCATACTGGAATAATAAAAGAGGAATAATAAAAGACRCATGAAGAAGGGAGGTAGGGAAGAGACACTTTGTACCCAGGCAGACTGTCATCTTTTTTCCAGTTTGTGATTTGCTGGAGGATGCAGGCACCACAATCTGACTCTTTTGCACATGGTGAGAATTACTGAAGTCTGGCCAAGGTGCATAAGGCCCATTTCTAAATGGGCTTTATACTTTTCAAAGCCTGACAATAGATGTGAACAGGCAGGTAGGGAAAATTGTCTCTTTATTGTTTTTTGGGGTTCTTTTCTCATCACCAGAGCTACTATATGCTTACTTAAAGGGCATCTGCTGCTTTTTAGTTTCCTCATCTGAAGAAGGCCCTGTGTCCCGTTGCACATTCCATGTACTGAAKGATGCGACTGGCATTTTTCATTGCTTTCTGCTGAAAGTCGTCATATCTGTTTTCTCCTCTGTTTAGTTTTCTTAGCTAGATCTGAAATGGCTGCAAGTAAAGGCTTCTGCAGTTCCACAATAAAACCAGTCTGGCTGCTCTTCTGCATGACTTAACATAATTGGGTAATTGTTTTATAAACAAAAAATAGGGAAGCTTTGTGCCTRGGACACAACCCGGGCAACTGAATTTGTTCCTGGCTATATCCATGATTTGGGTGAACTACAGCATGTTACTGCCTGCCATGTAGAAACATGATGTGGTAACTGGAACTACAGTGAATGGATGGAATTTTAGTGAGCCAGTGGGAAAAATGACTGGTATTAAATGTTAGTCAGTTCCATGGGAAAATAGTAGTGTCCCATAAATAGTGTACAATATCTATAAACATCCTCTTGTAACTCTAGTAATCATAAAAATACATATCTGGCAAGCATGTCCCACTGCAGACTGCTCTCCTAAATGCCAAAGACATTTATCTCTGTAATGAAGTGTAAGTAAGTAACTAGCCACTAAACTAAGAAAATAATTTTCAGTTTGAGAACTGGTATCTTAATAAACTTGTATCTTTTGTATGTGTTATTTTGAAGACTCTTGCCTGGTGGCTTCTCCTCATTTGAATTTTTGGAACTTAGTATTTCAAATGCATGCTAGTCAGCTTTCTCAGAGGATGTGAGGATGGAAGTGTGTTTTGCCCTATTGCCATTTGTGAAACTMCAAATGGATCAAATTAATCTGATACATATTTGCATGGTCAGATCCTAACTGATCATCCACTTCTTTAATTTTGGCAAGCATGCTGTCTACAACATGCATGTCTACAAGCATGTTGTTTACAACATTTCTGCATCATCTGGATAAAAACAATTTTTTGCAGGCTTGTGGGTTTTTTTACTTGCTGGAGGTCAGAGATAGTGTAATGCAATTTCTCTTAATTTTGCAGAAGTGGGGATCCTTGCCAAGGCCTACATTGATCAAGGGCAGCTTATTCCAGATCACATAATGACACAACTAATGCTGAATGAGCTAAAAAATCTAGACCGCTGCAACTGGCTATTGGATGGTAAGTTCGCATATTGGATATCACTACATATGGAGGGCAAATCTGCTCTGGGAAACCTGGGACTGCTTTGGTTGCATGTGGCCARCTTGTTGTGAAACTTTGACTGGATAGTCTGCCCCAGTTTCTTTGGCTGAAAAATGCTTTGGGTGCATACTGCCTTCAAAACATTATAGGGATATTTAATTCATATTGAAAAGGGTAGTTCAACACTACAGTAAAACTTCAAAACTAGCAATTCTGRTATTTTTTATTATAATTCGTATGGTATTTCCCCTTTACACAATGATGAAGTTTCTTTTTTCAAAGCTTTTTCTTATTAAAGTCACTGGGGAATGGAAAACTTTTGAAGGATGGGGCTTTGGAATTATTTAAATAGGAAGGTAGGCATGTGATGCAATAGCAAGATAAATATGGAAAAGTACTACAGCAGTGTGGAGTGTAATGAAAACACTGCTCAATTGCTCTAAAATATCTCCTTCATTTGCTGTTTGGTTCTCTTGTCCAGACTGAACTGTTTTGCAGTTCTGCAGACTAAGTTCATTGCTTCAGCATTCACATTAGAGAGAAAATGCATTTGCTGCTGTCTTCATGACCTGCATGGCTCTTGTTATTCTAGCCCATCAGAGTACAGTTGGATGTGCAGCACAAAAATAGTGTCTAAGCTGGATGAGTGTTTTTTTCAGACTCCAGGCACAACTGTCTCAGTAGGTAAAACTAAAAAGTTATTGGTGTGGGTTTTTGTTTAGAGACAGTGAAAAATCCACAGTGATCTCTGTCCCTCTCTGTGCTTTATTATAATTGCTCCTACATACAGTGATCTGTTCTGGTGGCTTTAGTCACAGCTGGGTTATTCCCCAAGACAAAGGTTTAATTCCCACCGTGCATAGCACAATGAAACCTAATCAATAAAGCAAAGAACAGGAGATACTGGGTTTTCTTYTTCTTTGATTCCAAGTCTTTTGTACACACAGTTCCAGTCTTGTGGATCTGGATGTGTAGCAGTATAGCTGTACGCACCGGCAGCTCTCAGCAGGAGGATTGTGTTGAGAGAATAAATCAATTTCTGCTGCATGTTAATGTGCTCCTGCCTTTAAACTTTTGGAGCAGAAATTTTGTCTACATCAGCATTTGTAATGAGACTCAATGAATGACACTGGGGATAGCTCTGGCATAATAGGCTCTGCAGGAGCAACACTCTTCTTTTGAAATATGTTAACCTGAAATCTTTAGTTTGATAATTGCAATGCRGAACAAACAGACAGGGTCAGCTAGCTCAAACCAGAGTTGCTGAACTGCTTGTATGCTTACTTAACCAAATACCCATTTACTGCATTATGATAGCTGGCTTCTAGAGACACAGCAAATGTAGCAAGTCTGAGTTGTATGTGTCTGTGGGTATAATATATTTAAATTTATTTGCTGTACAATTTTATTTGCTGTATATTTGCTGCATAATAAGGGCACTTTTCTCTGTGTTCCTAGAATCTTCACAATTCATCAAATCTTGTAGATGTTTTTGTGTATTGAGAAAGCACTGTATGTAGAAAATGCTGGCTCAATTTCAAAGAAATGCTTCTGTAAAGGCACTWCAATTTGTTGAGGAATTTTCTCATTACTCAATCCCAACGCAACTCATTTTCCAGCTGCACMACTTACATGTGTGGTGGCTGACTAGCTTGCCAGTAGTAAAAGAGAGCAGCAATTGATGACCTGGCTCTCCCTCTGCTCTTACCATTTAGAAGCACTTCCATGAGATAATGTGAACATGTGAGAAACAGGATGAGGGCAGATCATGACTGTGGTGCAGGTGCAAGAGACATAATACACAAACAAGTGTTTGATCTGAGTCAATCAACTCCATCTTTTTGTAATGTTTTTCCTTACTCATGCAATGGACAGATCAATGTTATGCAAGAGTTTCATAAGTTTGTACCAATTGTTACTTGCCTTTATGGAGAAGTTTACTCGTACCGTATGATGAAAATTATAAGCTACTGAAGAACATGACACTATGCTAGAGTTTTTTGAGGAGAGGCATTGTTCCAGTGAATATAGGATGCAATAGCATGTTCTGCTGTACCTTTGACCTGAAGATCTTGTGCCTCGTTTTTCATTTTAAATTCTTTGTGGAGATCTTGGCTTTATTGTTCTTTGGTCCCAGTACACCTTTCCTAAGTTCCACTAGGTTTGTGTCTGATAGTTGAAGGCATAGAGTAGGGAGCCATAGAGTTCATGGGGCAAATGCAGCGTCTTTCAAGTGGAGTGACAGGTTCCTGATCAGCTTGAGTGTTCTCACAGTCATCATACCTTAGGACAGTTTGATACACTAGAACTTCTAGAACCCTTGCAAATACTGGACTGCCTCTGGTAAATACATTTGACTTACTGCAGCTGAGTAAAATAGGTTTGTAATGGTCACCACCTTAAGTCAGACTCACACAGGTATGGAAGTAAGAGGTGCCACAAATGTTTCTAGGTTGTACTGACTTCTGAGTGAAACTTTTCACTGGAGCTTTTATTGTTCCCAATCTGTATAGAGTACTGTTATGCAGAGTAGTGATATGTAGTTCATATGAATATAGGGTCTTTTTGCACTTTTTTGTTGCACTTTYGGGAAAATTATTAACTGAAATGAAGAAATGAAAGCTGAAAGGCATTTGACAAGCTAAAATGTCATGACATAGTGAAAAACATTTGAAAATCTAATGTCTCTTCAACCATTTTAGAGTATGACAATACTTCCTGGGGGTTTTTCTGTATGACAATTATTTTCTATAATGACACAATTCGGGTAATTTTTGCTGTAACTCTGCTTTTGGAATTTTATGGAGCTGTTTCCTTTAAAAAGGTTTCCCCAGAACAGTTGCTCAGGCAGAAGCCCTGGATAAAGAATGTCACATAGACACTGTGATTGACTTAGATGTGCCATTTGAGACCATAAAATGTCGGCTCACAGCACGCTGGATCCACCCTGCCAGTGGCAGAGTCTACAATCTTGAATTCAGTCCTCCCAAAGTGCAGGTGAGCAATATATGTTGGTATTGGTACTAAATAAATGCTGCATTGTGTTTGCTAGCTGCAGTAAAATATTGTTTGCATATGGTTCCAAAACAGCAGCACAGAAGGAAAAAGCTCATTTCATTTCTGGGGAGCACAGAATCTTTTCAGTAGCACCCTGCTGGTGTGGGCGTGTGTTAGTGACCCGGTAGAACCTTGAGCTGGTGGACAACATATTTGTCCCCTGCAGAGCGGGACGCCATGGTGTTTTGTAAGCTCTTGTTAAAGCTGTTCACTGATCTAGAATAGTATCTGCCTTGCCCACTGGCACAAGATCTGGGCATGGTCTTAGCCTGTTTGCAGCCTGTACAGTCCAAAATGTAGATTTCTTTCCTCCAGAGGTGTCATGCTGTAAATATAGGAAGCACACCAATAATCAGTCAGAGGAATCCRCTTAATGCTTTCCCTGTGTTTATATTTAACCAGGACGGGTATTTTCAAGGGAAGAGCTGCTGTACTGCAAAACTGGATGTAGAAACTTTCAAGGCAGGGAAGCTTTTCAACAGCTTTGAGAGCTTATGACTTGAGATATCCTAAAGAGGAACCTGAAGATAAAGATTGTACATTGTTACCATAGAAGTTTTTTAAGAACAAGGATTTGCTTTAGTGCTACTCAGCTTAAACTGTATTTCATCCTTAACTCTAAATAACTTAGCTGTTGTGGCATCACATTTCACCTGGAAGCTCTATTAAGTTACATCAGAAGCACAGCAGGCCCTGTAGTTTTTGGATTTCAGTGTTGCAGGAAAAGAGGCCAGCTTGAAATACCAGGTAAGCACTGGAAGTGAGCAACTGAAAATATTGCCTTTGTTTTGTGTAAAACAAGGTGTGTAAAATCATGGTTATTTTCAATCGCAGAAGAGGACAGGAAAGCTGGAATAGAATTAGCAGACTTACCAAAAAGTAGGCTTCAGCTGCCAGAGCTTTCCTCTAAGGAATTTCTTCACCTTTCACTAATTAGCAGGCTCAACACAAYGCAGTAGATTGAAATATGTAAGTGAAAACATGGAATAGAGCCGAACAGGTGAAATACAGTTGTCCTTGTTATCTAATAGACCTACAAAATGTTTACTTACGTAGCAGGAATAAAAATTTACACGTTAGGTCCCTGCCTCTGTAGGGAAAGCTCCAGCTGACTCTTATGCTATTCCTTTGTACAGATGTTGCTAAATGATAACTTGGCCATTTTGCAACTGAAAATCAAAGGGCCATTAACTCTTTTGCCTATTTTAGTATTGACAAATGAAAGTCCTGTAGGTCTCTCATTTCCTATTATACAGGAATGTATTATCAACAATACTATTTTTCCTTGTACATGAAGGTTTTGTCTGCATATTCTTTATATTCTACAAATGCTCCAGAGGACAAATTAGTCAAGTTACTACAACTTATTGTTCATTGGCAATACTGAGAAAATATTTTTAAATAACAGACTTTGTTACTGGAAAGTCAACAGCTTATATTCCAGATAAGAACATAGGCAGCAGCCGTTCTCTTTAGAAGTAGACCTCTACACCCTGATTAACTGGAAATTTATTGTAATTTAAATACAAAATCACACAAGATAATGCTTAAACAGAAATAAGAAATGTACTCCAGTGTTTGCTTTTAACCAGGGTATTGATGACATTACTGGTGAGCCGCTTGTTCAGCGTGATGATGACAAGCCAGAGACTGTCAGCAAGAGGCTACAGGCTTATGATGCACAAACAAAACCTGTTCTAGAGTATTATCGGTAAGTAGTAAAATCTATTCTTCCACATTCTAAAGGCTTATTTTGCATTAGCATGGTGAAGAACAGACCTTTCCAGTAACAGAATATATTAACCAAAACTGTGAGTGTAGTGTGAGTAGCCATGTAGCTTTCATGAACTCGGTAAGAAACCAAGCGAGTGGAATGGGTATGGGTTTCCACTGTTGTATGAGACCTTCAGGAACCTGTGTGGTAAAACAGCCTGTCACTGTGTCGTGGTTTGGAATGCTGGCCAAAGGCCAGGCACCCACAACACCTGCTCATTTGCTCTCCCCCACCACCACATTGGGTAGAGGAGAGCGAAGGGGAAAAAGAAAATAACAAAAGGGTTCATGAGTTGAGATAAGGAGTGGGGASGAAACACTTGATGGACAAAACAGGCACCATTTAAATTATGAAGTGAATTTATTACTAACAAAGTCAGAGGAGGAGAATGAGAAATAAAATACAACCCTCAAAGACACCGATCTTCTCCCCACTTCCTCCCCCCTTCCCACTGACAGTACAAAGCAGCGGGGGGGTGAACAGGGTGTGGGGTTGGTCAGTTCAGGGTGTGGGTTCGTCAGTTCAGGGTGTGGGGTTGGTCAGTTCAGGGTGTGGGGTTGGTCAGTTCAGGGTGTGGGTTCGTCAGTTCAGGGTGTGGGTTGGTCAGTTCAGGGTGTGGGGTTGGTCAGTTCAGGGTGTGGGGTTGGTCAGTTCAGGGTTGGTCAGTTCCGGGTTGGTCAGTTCGGGGTGTGGGGTTGGTCAGTTCAGGGTGTGGGGTTGGTCAGTTCAGGGTGTGGGGTTGGTCAGTTCAGGGTGTGGGGTTGGTCAGTTCAGGGTGTG